GTAAAGACATAAAATTCCTTGCTTATAGTTGTCCGAATAAACATGAGTGAATTACCTTGTAATGCTTTTATGATTTTTTTAGGCCCTAAATAAGACAATTGTGAAATGGTTGTTTTGTTTTGTACACTGCTTCACATTTTTGACCATCGTGATGGCCCCTAAAACATTCTTCTCTGTCCATTTGTGTCTACGTATTTTTTTAATATTCTTATAAGCCATGTCATCAGTTAGCTAATGAGACTAGAGAGTGTAAATAAAATGAAGCATTCTATGGAAGTTTGTGAAAATTCTTACTTTTCTGAGCTAATGTCTCTAGCTTTGTAGCTAGTCTTTATATTTGGTGGTCTATACAGTATGCGGCATCATTGTAGTATTTTATTAACTACAAACAACACTGAGTCACCAGTTTAACATTTACTGCAGGATTTTAGGATTGTGGTGGCATTGCAGGGGGTTCATAAGACAGTGCTAGAAATGTTCTATAGGTTATAATACAAAGAGGAAAATGGTAAAAAATTTCACGAGTTAGACTAACCCTAGTCTAACTCAAGTCTCAAAGGGTACTCAAGGCAAATAATTTAGGTTGCAGGGTTTCAGCCAAGAAAAAAGTTTAAGAACCCCTGATTTACTGGTTTGGCATTAAACTGTCAAACCAATGTAGTAGTTCTTCATGCTTTATGCATTTTCTGGCACTGCTTTCAGTCAGTCGTGGCGTTTATTATATGGTATGTTCACACTAGTGTTCTTGTTTTCTGAAGGTGTGTCTAAAAACACATGCAAACTTGACACCAACAAATAGTGCAAACTGATTTTCTAGCAAGCTCTAAGGAGGGCTGTGTCTTTCAAATGAGCGAAACAACACATCTGTTTTTATGTCTTCACTGTAATGACTATGCAGTTTGTCTCTGAAGGTGCGAAGTACAGGGCAGAGTCAATGCGAAAAGACTAACACAGTGTGATTTACTGCTGACTGAAAATAACTGGGAACAATGATTGTGTGCACAAATAATGTAACAGAATTATATAATATGCTATGTTTAAATCAGAACGTTTATCAAATGTATGCTTTTTTGTCTCAAAAACTGGCTCTTAAAATGATGACTTATTGTGAAGATGGTTTCATATTTAAAGAAAGCTTGTGAAAAGATTTTCAGGCACAATTTCTTCATAAACAGAATATAACCTGTCTACATGCTTTATTTTATATTCATATTATATTTGGAATACATAGATCAGCCATAACATTAAAACCACTGACAGCTGAAGTGACTAACATTGATTATCTCCTTAAAATAGCACCTGTCAAAGGGTGGCATATATTAGGCAGCAAGTGAACAGTCAATTCTCAAAGTTGATGTGTTGGAAGCAGGAAAAATTAGCAAGTGTAAGGATCTGATCGACTTTGACAAGGGCCAAACTGTGATGGCTAGACGACTGGGTCAGAGCATCTCCAAAATGGCAGGTCTTTTGGGGTGTTCCCGGTATGCAGTGGTTAGTACCTACCAAAAGTGGTCCAAGAAAGGACAACCAGTGAACCGACGACAGGGTCATGGGCACCCAAGGCTCACTGATGCGCGTGGGGAGCGAAGGCTAGCCTTTCTGGACCAACCCACAGAAGAGCTACTGTAGCACAGATGGCTGAAAAAGCTAATGCTAGCTATGATAGAAAGGTGTCAGAACACACAGTGCATTGCAGCTTACTGCGTATGGGGCTGCGTAGCGGCAGACAGGTCAGAGTGCCCATGCTGACCCCTGTCCACTGCTGAAAGCGCCTACACTGGGCATGTGAGCATCAGAACTGAACCATGGAGCAATGGAAGAAGGTGGCCTGGTCTGATGAATCATGTTTTCTTTTACATCATTTGGATGGCTGGGTGCGTTGCTTACCTGGGAAAGAGATGGCACCAGGATGCACTAGCCTCTGGTGCAATGTTCTGCTGTTTGATGGGCACATCATCATATCCCGTCCAGGGTGTCCCCTGCATCATGCCCTGTTCCCTGGGATAGGCTCCAGGCTACCCCCCGACCCTGTGTGGGATAAGTGGTACAGAGAATGGATGGTTTGAGGAACATGACAAAGAGTTCAAGGTGTTGACTCCGCCTCCAAATTCCCCAGATCTCAACCCAATCGAACATCTGTGGGATGTGCTGGACAAACAAGTCTGATCCATGGAGGCCCTACCACAGGACTTAAAGGATCTGCTGCTACATCTTGGTGGCAGATACCACAGCACACCCTCAGACATCTTGTGGAGTCTCGACAGGTCAGAGCTGTTTTGGTGGCACAAGGGGGACCTACACAATATTAGGTGTTTTAGTGTTATGGCTGATCGGTGTGTGTGTATATATGTGTGTGTATATAAAAAAAAAAATATATATATATATATATATATGTGTGTGTGTGTGTGTGTGTGTATATATATATATATATATGTATATGTATGTATGTATGTATGTATGTATTAGTTAAAAATATCTTGAATATTGTCAAATTGCTCTAGCATTTCCTATTAGAAGATTACAGAAAACCAAACGTAAGATTGTTAAACCTATTTCTACACGTTTTACTAATTTCAAGCTTGAAATAGTCTTGTTCTACTGGAAGATAATTTTGCTACTTTTAAGCATTTATTTCTTGACATATGATCTGCAAAATGATCTGCCAGAAGAATAAGAAAATTTAAAGCTTAAAAATAGTAAAATGTGTCTAGAAATAGGCTTAATAATCTTGTATTAGGAAATTGTAGATACATTTGACTATATTCAAGATATTTTCACTTACTAAGATTTTATTACATTTTTTGGTGCATTATGCCAAAGACTTAGTGTCACCACCCAAAAAGTTGAAGTGTTTTATTCCTTTTACATACCTTATATCTTATGGAACATCCATGAAAGAAGTTAGCTATCTCACCATAAAGCACCTATAAACAGTCCTTCCCTCACCAGCCTCTCTTTTAATAAGACAAAAAAAAAACATCGCTTGTCATGATGCCAAAAAATAAAACAGAAAGAACAAAGACTTTCCTGTGATGGAAAACTTCCTGACATAGTCCTGACACTGGAGACTCCTTCCTTTTAAATAACTGTCACTCAATTTGAGTAATAAGCTGGAAGTTTAAGGGTTTAAAGGGAAACAGAACATAAAATTTCCCAGTGTTTGCTCTTCAAGTCTCTGGTCAGATCATCCCATCCCATCCCAGTAAATTACTCTGGGCCTTTTCCGATTTCACACACCCCATCACAGCTGTGTTTGTCATTACACACACTCTCTCACTGTAACTCTTTCATTTTTCCTTTACACTGTTGATAAAGTATTCCTCTTTGATTGCTCTAAACTTGCCAGGCCTGTCTTTGATACATCACATTTCAGACCATTATAACTTTTTTTTTTTCATTTTTAAATAAGCAGAAAATGTCGCTCTATTTATGTCTGATGAATACAGATTTTGGGGAAATGATTCGGTTTTCATTGTGTAATTTCAGGAGGAATCAACTGCTTTGAATACAACTAATGGGCCCCTAATCGTGGAGACTTGATTTTGAGAGATACTGATGATTAGCATGAACAGTTAAGGAAAAGCCTATTATAGCAGGAAGGGGGTTTTAGTCTGGTGATAATTTGGATGTTTGGATATGAGCTTTGAAAAACTCTTGAGCATTTTCAGGAAATCTCAGCATGGCCTCATTTCACTTCTGAGAGTTTGGAAAAGGTTTGGAGAGGTATAACGGAAAGCGTTTTTGAGTGTTTCTGGCTCAGGATAGAGATGATTTGCATCCCTCTCTCTCTCTCTTTCTCTCCCCTATGTCTGGTTCTGTTTCAAGTGTCACTCCAGTTTCATTTAAATGGCATTTGTGCCATGACACAAGTGCAGCTACACAGGAACAAAACATTCAGCAATGGGATGTCATTTCATTGACTTTGAATATAGAAAAACTCATTTCAGTTATTTGTGCACTCTCTCTCTCTCTCTCTCTCTCTCTCTGTGCATCTCTGCATGTGATCTAAAGCCATCTCTACTCCTTCATTGTTGTATTGTATTACCAGAGGGATCCTCCCCTGCCATCAAACCAGAGTGTGACCTGCATCCTTCCATCACATACAGGTTGGATCTTCTCGCCTGATCCTGGGCCTCAGGCCAGAGATATCATACGCCTTCCCTTTTTGAAGAGCATCAGTGTTTGGCGTCCCTCTTAATCTGTTTAATGTCACCAATAAAGGGTGTTTTATTAAGGTGACATTGGGTTTAGTGTTTAATTAGGCCTGAAAGGCATTTAAAAAAAAAAAGAGCTCAGCTTCTGGTATGTGTAGCTCACTCAGAGGGAATCTGTAGATACCTCTGTTTTATGGTATGGTAAGATGTTAATCTGTTGTTTGGATTGCTCAGATTAAGACCTAGACCACGGTGGTAACGTAGCTTTTTTCTACTGTATGTTAAATACTTTTAATCATTTAATTTGCTACTTAAGGTCAGTATTTTATGGCAACACAAATCTGGTTGGTCAAATTTTGTTGATTTTTTTTTTTTTTTTTTTTTTTTTTTTTTTTTTTTTTTTTTTTTTTTTTTTTTTTTTTTTTTTTTTTTTTTTTTTAATTTATTTATTTATTTTTTTGCTTGTTTGTTTCCTCCCACTGTCCAAAAACATGCCAGTAGGTGGATTGATTGCACTCAATGACACCTAGATGTGAATCCAGGGTGTATTCCTTCCTCATATCCAGTGTTCCTGCGATAGGCTCAAGATCTACCATGACCCTGACCAAGATAAAGCTCTTACTCAATATGAATTAATAATAGTGACCTTTTCCCCCAATCCATCTGAGTCACATTATTGTTTAACTAACTCAAATAGTCTAATCTTAGAATATGCTGTGGATGGCTGATGTTTCAAGCAGTGCTAGACAATGCATGCACAAGCGAACATCTGTCACTTATCAATTATGTTAAATTTTTTACATCAGTTACATACATTTTTTACAATTATACATGAAACACCTCGGTTCCCTGGTGGACTAGTGGCTAGCATGCAGCGCTCTCATCGCTGTGCTCTGGGTTTGATTCCTGGTCAGGGAACCAGCCCCAGCCACTGGAGGGTTGCATGAGCCAGTGTACTCTCAGTGCTGGTCCCAAGCCTGGAAATGGGGAGGGTTGCATCAGGAAGGGCATCTGGTGTAAAAACTTGTGCCAGAATCAAAGTATGCGGATGGGTGATCCACTGTGGGAGCAGCAGAAAGAGGGAAAAAAATATACATGAAATGTCTCAGGAGAACATTTAAATTATATGCAGTTGCTGGAAAACACTGCATTCCTTGGCATTTTTGTTATACCTGAATGGTTGGGATGTCTAAATTTCATCTGTTCATTTTCCAGAGTACACATAACTCAGTATTCAGAACAGTTTGTACAGAAAGATTTCATCATATAACTAGGACTTTTATATGTATTTTATATATATATATATATATAATATATATGGCACAGCTCTGCTCTATTTCTTAAAATAGGATGGCAAAATGCTGCAGTGATTTTTTAAACCATGCCGTGCACTCGAACTAATTCCACCAGAAAGGATTTGAGATTAAGATCTTTTATTCTGTAAAAGGTTGTATATTTTGGTATTTGACTTAATGTGGCGACCTTTGACACTAGGAAAAAAAAAACAACATAAAGTGTCTTAGTAATTTGTTCAGACACCACAGTCCTCCAGAACAGCTTCAATGCACCTTGGCATTGATTGTACAACACTGTGGAACTGTACTGGAATGCTGAACACTGTTCTTCTGAAAGATATTCCCTCAGTTAGTGTTTAGATGATGGATCTATCTAAAATGCTTTTAACACATCACTCCAAAATCTCCCATAGGTGTTCAAAACTGTGTGAATGCCATAGCGTACGATTTATATTTACATTTAATGAGCTCTTGTGAACTGTGGATGGGGGGGCGGGGTCATCCTGGAAGAGGCCCCACCCATCAGGATAGAAAGTTTTCATCACAGGATAAAAGTGATCACTCAGAAAATTTGTATTGATTTGCAGTGACTTGTCTCTTTAAGGGGACAAGTGGAGCCAAACACGGCATCACAGCACCATTGATTCTTCCTTTAACATACAGAAATCTCCATATTTTCAAGTTTATATGGCTCTGTATGTAGCTCGAGTGATTAATATCAGTTCTATATAGTCTTCACAAGGCATTGGATTGCTTATTCATGCCACTTAGTACTTGTGTAACCTTTAAATAATAAGGAATTTTGCCCAGAGTCATCATTTTCAGAGAGTTTCAGGCAACCCAGTGAATGGTTCTTATCATCACTCGCAATTCCACTTACTCACCGCCATGAGCCGTGAACGTCCTCTACAAAAACACACACTCGCAGTGAGAGAGAGTGTACTACAGACACAAAGAGAGCAAGACACGAGGGACCTCATAAAATATGTGCTCCATAATGCCCATTTCCAATTGTTTTTTCTCAAAATGATGCTCTGTTCAGCATGGGCAGAGCTAAAGGGTGAAGCATGGCCATCCCAGTAAGACAGGAGAACACTGACATTGTTTCCTGGAAGTTAGAAATTTTATTTCATCAAGCAAGTTTAGCTAGCTAACACAGAAGCGAAATATCCCCTGGCCCCACTGAGCTCAACAAACAAACAAGTAACAATGTTTTTACATTAATGATCATCATCGTTTGGAGGCATAACATTGGATATCTTCAGTTTGTTATTAGCTACCATTAGTTAATGATATTGAATTCATAATGCTAGCATACTTCATAAGATGTAGCCTAATGTTATATTAGCTATGACTTTTTTGTAGCTTTCTAGAGAACAAACAAATGTTGTCCACGTATGTACCTTTTATGTCTGATGGGGATCCTATTCAGGCCATTCACAGATAGGGGGCACCACATTATATAATTTTTTATGGATGCAGATTAGTATTTTGCCTCACCCTAGATTGCTACCCCAGTAAAGTCATTAGGTATAACCTGGCTACCCCACTGTAAAAGGACTGGCAAGGCAACTACTCTTCTGTACTGTACTATACCGGCTGCCTGGCTAACACCCATGGCTCCTGCTATTCCATAATCCTTATTAGTTATGGTGTATGTGTGTTTATGTGCGTGAATGTCCCCACTGGGGTCTAAGCTGCTAATTGCTACACGTAATAGCACATATTTTTTTGAACCAGAAGCTGTGTGTGGTGTACAGCGTGTGTGTGTGTGTGTGTGTGTGTGTGTTCTCATGCAAGTTGGCTGAACATCTGTCCCACAGCCTGGACAGGATTGAGTCACACCCATTTTGTGAATTCAGGGACAGAGGCCAGACTATTTTTCAGATGGCTGGGTTTTTCCAGTGGTTGCTGTTCACACCAGCACACACACACATGCCACACACATGGCAGTGGACAGATGGTACATCTGAGAGTATGCTTATATCCCGCTGAATAAATCACTTGGTTTCATTAGAGGAAGTGGCTTAGACAAAGCAATGTCCATAAACATGTTTTCTTACACAAATTACTCTGACATTTAACATAAATCTGTAATAATGGGAGAAGCACCAAGGGCTAGATTTTGACATGATTCTGAAGCAACAAAATGACTCTTAAAGATAATGAATGCATTATGGATTGTGTGTTACAGGACTTTGCAGACGCCGTGTTTCATTTGGTGAGGGAGAAATACAGCGAACTGATTGGCTGCTCCGCCCTCATGCACGCATGTCACAAAGGCCTGGCGGGCATCGTCATGACCAGAGGTAGGCTCCACTTCTCTGATACAGGGGCAGAAATGTATGATGTAGAGGCATGAAAGTCTGATACTGAGGAAGGAATGTCTGATACAGAGACAGAAATATCTGATACAGAGGAAGAAATGTCTGATACAGAGACAGAAATATCTGATACAGAGGAAGGGATGTCTGATATTGAGACAGAAATATCTGATAGCGAGGAAGGGATGTCTGATACAGAGACAGGAATGTCTGATACAGCGGGATGAATATTTAATACAGAGACAAGAATTTCTGATATAGAGGCTGGAATGTCTTATAAAGAGGCAGGATTTGCTGATACAGGGGAATGGATGTCTGATACAGAGGTAGGAATGTCTGATACAGAGACAGAAATATCTGATACAGAGGAAGGAATGTCTGATACAGCAGGAGGAATATTTAATACAGAGACAAGAATTTCTGATATAGAGGCTGGAATGTCTTATAAAGAGGCAGGATTTGCTGATACAGGGGAATGGATGTCTGATGCAGAGGTAGGAATGTCTGATACAGAGGTAGGAATGTCAATTTAAAGCCAACAATGTCTGATACTCAGGCAGGAATGTTTCAGATTAGTTTATTTATTGTCATGTCACAGTTTACACAGTTACTAAGTATACAGAGATAGGAATATCTGATATAGAGGCAGGGATGTATGATACACAGGCAGGAGTTTCTGACATAGAGGCAAGAATGTCATGTATAGGCAGAAATGTCTGATATAGAAGCAGGAATTGTTGATGTCAAAGCAGGAATGTCTAATACAGAGGCAGGAATATCTGGTGAATGTCTGACATGGAGGTAGGAATGTCATATAGGCATAAATGTCTGCTATAAAAGCAGTAATTGCTGATGTCAAGGCAGGACTGTCTAATACAGAGGCATGAATATCCGGTATAGAGGCAGGAATGTCTGACCTAGAGATAGGAATGTTTGACACAGAGGTAGGAATGTTTGATGATATAGAGGGAAAACTATGTGATATAGAGGCAGGAATGTCTGATATAGAGGCATAGAAACATTATCAATATCGTATAAATATGCTGCACAGAAAATAGACCCTTTAGATTGCAGAGCAATGAAGATAACAGCAGAGAGTTTACAAATTGGATTTCACAATATCACAACCTAAAAGCTGGCAAAGATGTTCCATAGGTGGTTTCATAATAATATTAAAAAAAACAAGAATCAGGGGAAGCTGAGGGACTTTGATGATCTCTAAATACACTGTAGATGTGTGTTTAAGTAAGTGACCTTTTCACAGTTTATTCTACTAAATTTACACATTGTAAAACTATTGGCACGGCAGAAGCTTAGTAGCCTAAGTCAGGGGAAAAATGTTATTTTCTGACAGTTGATCGTTGCAAAAGCTGTTTATGGTCTATGATCTTGAACTTGACCTGCTCTGGAGCAGGGTCGCTGTACAGCATAATTTATTATGGCGATATAGCCCAGTGAAAAGTGAACCACGGTTATAAGACAGGAAATACAAAGTAGGGTCAAATTAAGCTCAAAGATAGCTAGCTAACCAATAAATCTTGCTTTGTGAAACAGGCCCCTGGTGTGATGAACTCTCCAGCTTGTAACATTTCTATATTTTTTACATCAAGAGCACTATCATGATCATTTCCCAACATCGCTATCATATATGGCTCCTCAGTTTAGACTTGATCAGGTGGTCATATTTCTCTCTCTCTCTCTCTCTCTCTCTCTGTGTGTGTGTGTGTATGTGTGTGTGTGTCAGAGTAATTGCTAGACTTGTGTATTAATAAGGCTGTTATCTTCAAAGATCCAGGCACAGGCAGGCCGGGTGTTTGTAGCAGGCTAGCAGACATGCAAAACTTGACAGAAACACTAGGAGCTCTGTTCCTCTCTCTCTCTGAACATCTACTGGACATGCACCAGCGGAATATTAATGCATCTTCATCTTTGAACTGCTGCGTTTCCTCAATCTCATTCCCTCAAAAGGAGCCTTGGTCAGGTTTCACAGCAGCTCACTGGCCCCTTTATTGAGTTGTTTCATCCAGCAAAGGCGAAAGAATACAGACTCGAATGTGATTCTGAATAATCTCATTTAAGCCTGGCCTGCTGCCGCTGCTTGGATATTTGGTTTTGAACATCAGATGAAGCGATGTTATAGGGGATGGAGCGTATTCGGTTACACTTGGGACATGCCTGACAATGTTACGAGCGACTCAAAGGTTCAGCTGGACACACTGATATGGAGAGTTATTGCTTCAGTGGGGATGTGATATTAAAAACAACATCTGGTGCCCAGAAACTTTTAATCTATAAAGTT